GAACTGCCCTTGGGAGCACCACTTGGGAGCCTTCCCCTTAGTGCCCCCAAAAGCTTTTGAGTATTTTCTCTTCCACATCATCCTCCCCCACTGTCACTTAGATGGTGGGTGGATCCCTGGGCAAGGCCGAGAGCATGGCATGCAGTGTGCAGTAGCTGTAGGTCTGGGATGGCACAAGCTCCCCCACACTCCAAGGGGGCAACCACTTCTGAAATAGGGAGAAGCCCAGCTCAGCAGCCCCTGCCAGCCCGAGGTCTGAGCCAGCACTGAACCAATCGCAGCAGCTGACTCGTAGCCGAGACTGTGGCCTGCCCATGGGAAATCTGGGCATGCGACACCAGGACTGCTGGGTCCCCCCATGTGGGCACAGAGTACAGCTGACTAAAAATAGCCAGATAAAAAGAGGCCCCAGGGTGAGGGCCAGAGCACAGTGGGGAGGGCATTTGCCTTGCACACGGCTGACCTGGGTGATCCCTGACATTATCTGAACCCCTGAGCACCACCAGGATTAATTCCTCAGGGCAGAACCAGGAGTAACCCCTGAGCACTGCTGGGGCTGGGTGTGACCCAAAAAGCCAAAAAAAAAAAAAGCCCCATAAGAATGTTCCATGCACCGAGGATTATAATTAATCCCACTGTGGGAGTGTGGGAGCAGGAGGCCCAGCCTGAGAGGAAACAAAACAAAGGCCTCAGTGCTGGTGCCAGTGGGGAGCGAGAGGCAAGTGCCGAGGCCTGGGGTCCCACACCTCGGGCTCCTCCCCAGGATGCCACCTCTTGTGTGCACTGAAACTGGGTTAAGGCACATCAACCCTGGCCTCCGCCACTAATGCAGTTCACAGCTCACATTTGGTGGCTTCAGGCCCCCAGGCAACCCCGTGTCTCCATCACTCACCCACTTGCTATGGGCCACAGAGCTGAGGGGTTGTAGGGGTACGTGCCAGCCCTTGGACATCCGAGGAGTCAGTGGACAACGTTTGTCCTCACTCACACCCCCCAGGCAGCTACCGTAGCGACTGGAACGAGGGTTCCGGCAGTTCCGAGCCCTGACATCACAGAGAGTGGGGGAGCCGCTCTGAAATGTCATCGGCATTGGGCCTCATTGATGGGAACAGCATAGGATGCTCGACAAGAGGAGACCCTCAGCGGGCGAGGTGTCCCTGTGAACTCCGTGCACCCTGGGTGGGCAGCCAGAGGGCTGGCCGCCTTGGAGGGACATGGTGAGGCTGTTGCCCAGGAAGCCGCGGGAGCCAGTGGTCTAGGTAAAGGCTGATCACATCCTTGAGCCCTACTGTGCTAGAGAGATGCCCAGTCAGAGCGGGTGTCTTGCAGGGACTGCTGGAGGCTGGGGAACGACCTAAAATGAAAGGCCTGGTCCATGGTTTGGCCATTTCTAAGATTTCCAACACCCTTCCTTCCTATTTAGACCAGGAAAAGAGCGAGTGTGGGTTCACTCTGAGGTGGGCACAGCGCATGGACACGAACATTCCCATCCCTGTGCGTGATAACCACCTTCTTGAGTCTAGCTGAATGTGTTCCACTAGAGCTCATGAAGTGATGACCCTTCCCTTGTCTGTAAGCAATAGGGGAAAAGCCTGCCTGCGTTAAAGCAGCTAATAGCCTCTTTCCCGAAACCTGTGCTGTAATGATGCCAGCCTGCAGAGCAGCCGTCATCGGAACTGGCTTGTCGACAAACTGCAGAGTGGAAATGTCTTGTTGGCCTCAGAAGCACAGCTGAGGCGGTGGTCATCATGCGCGAAGATTCTCTCCTGTCCACGAGCTGTGCGGGTGCACAGTGGCCACGAGAAGAACAGATGGAACCGCTGCATGCTGGACAGGGCCCGCCCGGGCCTGTGAGTTCACTGGCTGCCTCTGGGGCTGCCGGCGCTTTCAGCACTAGCTTCTGAAACGAGGCTGTTGGGGTGATTCCTGGAGGCGGGAGGAGGGTGTCGGGGGAGCAGGGATCTAGGCAGAGCCAGCACGGCCCCACCGGCCACGCGCCCCGCCACTCCCTTCCCTGGGACTTTCTCTGGCGTGAAAGTCAGCACAACCCCTCCAGGCACTTTACTGGAGTGAGCCCCAGGGGTCCTGGCCCCGGTTGTGTCGTCCACACCTGTCGCTGGACCCCACCAGGCCTAGAACCCAGACATGATCCCTTGCTGAGTTCTCCTCAACCTTTACATTGTCCGTCTTCACCAATGAGGGGTGTGACGTGACTTCTGTAGCCTGCTTGCTAAATAGCATTCTGCCCTTACACAGTGGGCCAGAGCACAGCTAAGGCGCAGGCCTGGCGTGCAGCGGACCCCCAAGCACCGCCAGGGTCACCCTGGGAACCCTGTTTCATCAGGGCCTGAGCAGCGCCGAGCCATGGACCTGGGTGCCTGAGAGTGGCCAGGAGGGGCCCCAGGCCTCCTGAGCTCACCCCTCAAAAATAAGGGACGTTTTTCTTTTCCTTTGAACATTCTTTGCTTGCCCCGTTTAACAGTCCCTCGCTCTCAGAGACTCATCATTCATGGGCAGGCGGCAGTGGCCTGCCATGGGTGACCATGAGACGCCTTCATGGCCTCGCAGGGCCCCTGCCCGGCTGTTCGCTCCCTGCATGTGAGAGAAAGATCTGTGAGCACTTAGCCGCTCCAAGTCAGATATACGCAGCCGAGATGGTGTGGGGCTAGAGGGAGCCCACGGTTCCTGTCACTGAACATGCCCTCTGGTCTCCAACATGCGCTGCTCCCGGTGCCACGTTCTCCCTCGGTGGCGTCATCTTGGGAAGCGGGGCTGGAGTGGCAAACTCTGACCCTTTTGGCCTCTGTACCTCCCCACAGTCAGTCAATCTGGAAAACTGCATGCTGTACCTTGCTAGGGAACCTTCTAGACCAGCGTCTATCAGCGACAGGCCAGCACCTGTCCTGCGTGTGCGGCCTCGGTGGTACTAGCCGTGTGGTTGTCAACTGTCTATACCTGTAGGTCGGCCCCAGTCTGGACGGGTGATGGAACCACGCTCAGGACTCCTGTCCCGTCCTCCCTGCCCCCACTTCCTCCACCAGTGCAGCAAGGCCCCTGGGAGCTGCCCCAGCAGAGACCGCCCCTCTCAGCCCTGAGAGGCAGCTGGCAGCTGCACTCCTTCCAGTGGCGCCCCAAATGCGAATGGCTTATCATTTATTCACGACTCATCTCTAAATAGCTCCTCAGGCACTCGGGGCCCCACGTGAGTGCGCCTGCGGCTGTGGTTGTCTCCTCGGGGCTCACCATTCCCTGCACTCCGTGCAAGCCAGAGCAAGGCCCCCTCCACCCCACGCAGGGGTCTCTGCTACACCCAGCACTATTGTTGCAGTCTTACTGGGCTCCCTGGACAAGGTCCCCACCAGCATGGGGTGTCCAGAGCACAGCCCACAGAGGGACAGAGGGCGGGACTCGGGGAGAGGGGGCAAGTCCATGGGAAAATGCCTAATCTGGCCCTGTGCAGCCCCCACCCACTCTGCAGCCTGGTGCCCCTTGTGTGGCCTGTGTGGGCCAGGGTCACTTGCGGCCACACCCGGCACAGCCCAGGTGGCCCTCATGCAAACCCTTGGGCTTGGCTCCATTTCTTCCTCCTCCAGCCCTCAGGGATGCGGCCACCCCCTTCCCCCTTCTGTCTCTGCTGACTGAGGATGAGTCATGGTGGTGGCAGGACTCTGTCCAGGACAGAATGGCGGGAACACCAGGTCCTCGCGGGGAGACAGCGGCTGGACAGTGCCAGGGCTTCCAGCCCTCTCCCTTCCTGGCCCACTGCTTCCACGGCCGTGAGTGATGCAGGGTCCGGGTGGCCCATGCTTGCTTCCCCACGTCTTAGTCAAGCGTGTGCTACGGGTCCAGCTCGTAGCAGACTGGGGCTGGAGTGGGGAGACGTGAGGTCACACATTGGCACCCCGCCCTGCCCCTGCTAGAACACAAGCAAATCCCTGCTTGTCGCTGAAGGCCTTCCCGGAATGGACAGACGGCACCAGGGCCACTGCTGCAGGGCCCAGCTCCCACGTACCCCACCCCGTAAGCCAGCAGCTGCTCTTGGGCTGGAGAGTACGTGCCCTCTCTCCTGGGGCCCAGAGGCTTCTGGGGGGACTGGGCTGGGCTGGGCCCCAGAGGAAAGGTGGACAGAAGAGGCGGAAGGTGACTGGGCAGATGAGCAGGACCGGAGGTGATGGCCGGGGCAGTGCTGCCTTGTGCCCGGAGGGAGGTACCCCTCAGCCCCCTTCCTCCCAACTCCAGCTTCACCTGGTCCCTGGGTGAAAGCCCCCTTCACCCGTGAGTGCCCTCAGGGCTGTGGCCTGACCTCCCCAAGGCTTCTAGTATGTCCACCTCAGAGCTTCTGTGATTCCTTTCATCTTTGGCCCCCAGGAGTCCAGGGCACTGCCTCTTGCCCCTGGGGGGCTCTCTGGCTGGCCAATTAGGAGAATGACTCTGGGTTTACAAGAATAACTTAGAAGCAAATAACCTGCGTTTTTTGTCCTTGGCATCGTTAAGTGCTGTGCAAGCTGTCTTGAATTTCTCTGGTAGCTTTTCCAGAAAAGACCCATTGACTTCACCATAGGTGTCAAGTTACAGTAAAAGCAGAGTGGACAGTGCAAGCGTCTGCTGTCTGCTGGCTGAGCTTGGGGCAGGCAGGCCTGGGAATAGACTCCAGCCCCTGCCGCCCCCTGGGGCCCAATGGGGCACCCTCAGGAAGGCTTCTTAGCAGCAGCCACCCCCTGCTGCCACACCTGCACCGGGGGCTGATGGGGTCCCTGGGGGATGGCCTGCTCTCGCTGTAATTGTGCGGTGACCCTGGCTGGTCTTTGAAGTGCTGTGTGTGTGTGTGGGGGGGGTGGCAGTCTTTGGAGCTGGAAGCTGTGGACTTGCGGTCCTCTTTCCAGACCTTGGGCCACCCCACTCCACAGAGCCCCGGAGGACAAATGGGCAGGCGAATCCTCTTCTAGTCTATCCTCTGCCCGTGCCTTGCTGGGGCACTGACCAGGTCTGTACCCCTGCAGGTCATCTGGATGTCAGCATGGCAGCCACGAACCTGGAGAACCAGCTGCACAGCGCACAGAAGAACCTCCTGTTCCTGCAGCGGGAGCACGCTGGCACCCTCAAGGGGCTGCATGCAGAGATTCGCCGGCTGCAGCAGCACTGCACAGGTGCGGGCAGGGGCGCCAAGGGCCAGCACCTGCTCTGTGCTGGGTGTGGCTTGAACGGAGGGGTGCTGTGTGCTGGGCCGGGCCTGGGTGGGGTGGGGGCCGCGCAATGGGCGTGGCCTGTGTGGTGATGTCATGTGGTGGGCGTGGCCTGAGCGGCTGGCGCAGTGTGCTGGGCGTGGCCTGGGTGGGCACGGCCTGAGTGGGCGGGTGCAGTGTCGTGGGCGTGGCCTAGATGGGCAAGTGCTGTGTGGTGGGCGTGTCGTGGGCGGGGCCGGGGCGGGCTCACTGGTTGGAGAAAGCGGCTTTTAGCTCTGGGTTCTCCCGGTCCTCAGCAGAGCTGCTGGAAGCCGTTCCTCGTGCCTTTGCCTACTCCACAGGGTTCACAGCTTTTACTCATCTGCGAAAAATGATGCATTCTGGGAGCCCTACCTAAGAGCTCCTCCTGAAATGCCAGTGTGGGCTGCTGCCTGTGTCCCAGGGCCAGGAGGTCCCCCTGAGCCCTTATACGTCCACTGGGGCTGCTGCTCTCTGCGGGTCTGATTTTCCCACTGTGCCAAGCCCCGCTGCCTGTTCTGTGGCAGTGCCAGGGTGGGTGAGGTTTGGGGATATGCCCTCATCACAGGAACTCATAGTGCATTTCCTATTTTAGATCTGACCTATGAACTGACCCTCAAAGGTTCGGATCAGGCAGGTAAGCGGAGCATGGTAGTGTGTCACTGGGGGCCCTTCCAGGGATGGACGCATGTGCCAGGGCCCTGCGGGTTGGCGCGCGGGACAGGGAGGAGGTAAATTAGTTGCCTGGTGGACACAGTGCCCATATGCTTTTCTGGATGCTGTGACTTTCCTGCAACCATGTGTCCTTTACATAATCGAGGGAAAGATGTGGCTTACAGCAGGACGGACAAGACCCGTGTATGCAGCCCATCCTCAGTGGTGCCCCCAGCATGTGCTCCCCCAACACTGGCAATGCCCCTGCACCCCCCAGTCCTGCAGGCTGAGCCCGAGAGGCCCCACCCCAGTCAGCCCGAACCCACAGGTAACTAGGAAGCTCCAGTGACAGCAGCGGGGTCTTGGCTGCAGTGGGCAGCATCCACACCGGAGTCAGCAACTGCCTTCCCGGCAGGTTCCATGCAGCTGTGCCCAGCCAGAGCCCACAGTGCCCCAGATTCCTGACCACCCAGATTCTCCTGTCGGCACCCTGGGGTCTGTGTCCTGGTGCTCCACACAGATGTCATGATTTCCTGTGTGGGTGTGGCAGGGTGTTGCCATAACGGAAGGCCAGGGTGTCCACCTGCCACCAGGGACCTAGTCAGCCTCAGGGGAGTGGCCTTGGCAGGAGCCAGGCCACTGACCCTCTGGGTGGTCTTAACCCAAGGCCCAAGGCCACACACTGTCCCTTATCAGGCTCTTTGAGTGAATGGCCGGGCTGCCATCAGGACTAATGGTTGGCGAAACTCAGAGGCTGCAGGCCAGTTCCCTCCTGGGGGAGAGGGGTCCTGGCCTGCACGCGCACACACACACACACACACACACACACACACACGTGCACTCAAATGCACTCAAATGCATCATACGCACGCACCCAAGAGCTTGCATGCACACATGCACATGCATGCACAGCAGGCTGGGGGCACTGGGGGAGGCTGGGAAGCCTGGCAGGCAGGGACTCGGGAAACCTTCCCTGGCCAGTGGGACAGCAGTGTTCAGGTCTGAGCCAGAGATTACACTCCAGATGGACAGAAGGGGCTTGTAGGGAGCAGATAAACAGGCAGAGAGGAGGAGCTGCTTTCATGGACAGGGAGGAGCCATTCGGAGGGGCCGGGTCCCTGAGGGGCAGAACCGCGGCCCAGTCCAGCTGCAGCTCGCTGAGGTGCCCTCCCCCGGGTCCGAGGCTGGGCCTTGGGCAGCCCACAGCCTGTCCGTTGGAGGCGGGAGCTGCCTGGGGGAGCATGTGGGGCCCGGGGTCCCTGTCCCCCTGGCGCCCCTGACCCGACCCGCCTGTCACAGGAGTGGGGTCGTCTCGGAGCAGCGAGCTGCGGCAGCGCTGCGAGGAGCTGGAGGCACAGCTGCGCGCCAAGGAGCAGGAGAAGGAGGAGCTGGTGGCGGCGCTGGAGCAGAAGAACGCCATGATCGCCGTGCTGGAGAACACGGTCAAGGAGCGCGAGAAGAAGTACCTGGAGGAGCTCAAGGTGAAGAGCCACAAGCTGAGCCTGCTGACGGGCGAGCTGGAGCAGCGGGCCGGCACCGTGGCCTACCTGACCACGCAGCTGCACGCTGCCAAGAAGCAGCTGCTGGCCTCGAGCGGCGCTGCCGACGGCAGCCCGGCCCGGAGCCCCGTGCTGGCCAGCTACAAGCCGGCGCCCCCAAAAGACAAGCTGCCCGAGACGCCCCGCCGCCGCATGAAGAAGAGCCTGTCGGCGCCGCTGCACCCCGAGTTCGAGGAGGTGTACCGGTTCGGCGCCGAGGGCCGGAAGCTGCTGCTGCGGGAGCCGGTGGAGGCCATGCCGGACCCCACGCCCTTCCTGCTGGCGCGGGAGTCGGCCGAGGTGCACCTCATCAAGGAGCGGCCCCTGGTCATCCCCCCCATCGCCTCGGACCGCGGTGCCCCTGAGCCGCACAGCCCCAGCCGCGACAAGGCGCACAAGGCACACGTGGGCGTGGCCCACCGCATCCCGCACGCCGCGCCCCCGCAGCCCCCAGCCGAGGTGGAGACGCTGGCGGTGGACCAGGTGAACGCGGGCAAGGTGGCCAGGAAGCCCTCGGGGGCGGACAGAACGGTGTGAGGCGCCCGCCCGCGCCCGCGGCCCCGCCCGGACTCGGCCGCGCCTTTTGTACCTCCCGAGCATGTCACTCGCCTTCCAGACCTGCCAGGACTCCTGCCCGCCCGCCTCGCGCCGCCGCCCCTGCTCAGAACAGCCCAGCGCCACGCCCAGGCCCACCCACGCAGCCCCCAGTGAGCCAGCCGCGCCTGTCCACCTTGGGCAGCCGCCGAGAGACCCTGCCCCACCACCTTCCCCGGGCGGCCGAGAATGAGCAGCTTGTGTATGTCAGGAACTAAATAAGATGATGATTCTCCTTCTACACCACTACCTGATGTGTGGTCATAGTTTGTCTTAGCTTTAGTTTTATCCAAAATGTTCAAGATCCCAACAAACTTTATTTTCTAAACCGTCCTTCTTTCTGTCGTCTCTTTTATTAAAACTTTATTAAAGGGGAGGGGTCGTGGGGAGGGAGGGAAACAACAGCACCCAAGGGATAGCCGGACAGACACCCACACACTACAGCACCCAAGGGATGGATGGACGGACAGACAGACACCCCCCCCACACACACACACTACAGCACCCAACGGATGGATGGACGGACAGACACCCACATACCCACTACAGCACCCAAGGTGGATGGATGGACAGATCCCGTTCCCCACACACAAAACCCATAACCGTGGTGTCTGGCCCAGCTGTGCACACCTGAGGGGTGGGCAGTCTCACTTCCGGGAAGGACGGCCAGGTCCCCCTCCCCTGCCCAGCTCACTGTCCATACAGCTGGTCATACACAAGTGCCTGATTCAAAACTGCTACCTGGAGGGTTCTGGGACTCTGGTAAAAAGCTACTGTGACTGGAGACCACTTAGTCCTAGGCACAGGCTGCAGGTTAGCCTAGGACCCCTGACTCCAGGCCAGCCCCCGAATCCAGGCCAGCCCCCAGTGCTTGGTCATCCCCCAGACTCCAGGCCAGCCTGACCCAGGCTTGTCTCTGGTCATGCAGCAGGGAGGTCAACTGTGAAGTCCAGTGGACACTGAGCCCCTATCCAGCCTCTCCTGGAAGCACCTGGGGGTCATAAACTCCAGTGGTGTCGAAGGAGCATGCCAGAGCTCCATGGAAGGAGAGGTGTCTGGGGGGACTCTGCTCCGAGTCCGCTTTCATCCATCAGGAAGGGGCTCTGTGCCCCTGTGGCCACGCCTCCCCCTGGATCCTCAGTGGCCGGGTCCAACCCACCCATACCTCTGCAGCGCCCCCTTCTCCCTCCCCTGCTTCCTCCAGCATATCTCGTAGACAAAAGGAAACCTTTGGTCTTAAAGTGTGCACCAGCGTTTACTCGAATCCAAAACTAAAACTGTCTTTTTTAAAAAAAAATGTCCAGGGCAATGCCTCTGAGCTGCCCTCTTGGGAATGACTCCATGGACTCTGCAACCCAGCTCCTGCTCGGCCCGCCAACTGCGGGACTAGTCTGAGTTGAGGGTGAGGCACACGCCCTGCAGCACCCAGTGCGAGATGTGCTGTCCGGTGAAGAGGTCGGCCTCGAAGACCAGCCCCACGCCCATGGCATCCCTGCGGGTGGAGGTGGTGTACACCGGCGTCCGGAAGGTGTTCTGCAGAGGATGGGCGTGTGAGCGCCCCCTGGCGGCAGGCGCCAGGGATTCAAGTGGCCTCCGGCCCTGGTCAGCGTCTCGTAGGACGACTCAGCCTGGCCGAGTGGTGGTGGTGGTGGGGGGTGGGGGGGAGTGGCCAGCCCACCTGAAGCTTGAGGCGGTGGCTCTCAATGGGGATGACCTTCAGGATGGGCAGGTCCACCACCAGCACCTTGGGCTGGCTCCTGACCAGGCAGCCTCTCTCCAGGTCCCAGCCAGCGCCCTCCAGGTACAGACCTGAGACGAAGCAGCCTGCAGGCGCCAGGGGGTGACCACCTCACACAGTGGCCTCGGCCAGGCGGTGGACGCCCCACTCAGCCCACACCTGCATCCGAGGGTCCCACCTGCACCCCCCGCCTTCCCTGGGGCATCCTCCCCCAGCACAAGGCTTAGACCATGGCAAAGCCCGCAAACCCCCCTCCCCCCGCTGCTAAGGACAAAGACATGGATTCAGAGCCCCCAGATCCTGGGATCCACAGGGGGGGCGGGGGAGACAATCAGGTGGAGGAGAATGGGGTCAGGCTCTTCGGAGGGCCCAGCCCCTGGACACCTCGCTGACTTTTGCTCTCCCCCCAGCATCCCCCCCCCCCCCGAACTCCTCAGAGCCACAGACGCCCACAGGGAAACTTTGAAGCCCAGGCCCCTCTCTGCAGAGCGGCAAGGCCAAGCCTGCAAGGGGCTGCGAGGGATATGAGGGGGTTGCCACCCAGGCCCTGCTCTCTGGCTTCTTGGGGTCTTGGAACTGTCTCGCCTCACCCACACGCTTATTCCTCACAGGAGGAGCCGGGTCTCTGCAGTAGCTGGGGGCGAGGGTCCCACTTTTGAGGCATCCTACCTTGTCCTGCACGTTCCATCACCTCATCCGCGTCCTGGAACTTGGTCACCTGCGTGAAGAGGGTGGAGCGGTCCAGCGGCCAGCCGTTGCGCCGGCAGGTGGCCTGCACCAGGGCCGTGAGGTAGGACTCGGGAATGTGCAGGCCAGACAGCCACATGACATTGGGCTCGCCGTCCCCAACCTGTGGGAGAAGACACAGCTGCTGGGGTCATGAGCCGCCCGGTGAGGGGGTCCAGTGAGAGCACAAAGCCCAGAAAAGTCACCCATGAGAGTCTGACCACGTACAAGCACACCTCTCTGATGGGAAACACTACAAAATTGAGAAAATGGGGAGAATGGCCATGCCACCACAGGGCCGCCATGACTGGCCGCAAGAGCTCTCTAAAAAGACCCATTTTAGGGGCCACAGCAATAGTACAGAGGATACTTGCCTTGCATGCGTCCATCCCTGGTTCAATCCCCGGCACCCCATATGGTCCCCTGGGCTCTGCCAGGAGTGATCTCTGAGCACCACCAGGCATGGCCCCCAAAATAAAATTAAACAATAAAACCAACAAAATTTAAAACAAAAAAAAAAACAAGTTTTTTATGAAAAACGTATTAAGGGCCCAGGGAGATAGAGATCACAGGCGAGGGGTCACTCCTGAATACCGCCAAGTCTGGGCCCAAACTAAGACGATTCATGTTCAAAGATGGAGAACTCGGTAAAAACAAATCCATCGTGTCAAGCAAAACGGAGAGGAAGCCCAGTGGACTCACTCCCCTGTGGTACAGAGACAAAAGGAGGCTACAGGCTGGAACGGTGACAACGGGACCCAGTGGTGGGGCTGGGAGAGGCAGCGACATGGAGGCGGGGAGGGCGCGGGGCCGGGACTTCAGACCCAAGCATCTGACTCCACGCTGACCGCGTGGGCAAAGAACAGGGCTGGGAAGGGAGCACCCGGGGAGAACAGATGGGCCCAGGGTGAGTGCAGGTGCAGCCGCTGATGACCGCTGGGGAAGCAGGTGCATACGTGGGGCTGGGCTGTCCTTACGCCACGCTCCAGGGCGGGCACCTGCTCTGAAAGGCCTTGGGAGGGGCCCAGGGATGCTGAACGAAGCTCCGGTCAGGGGTGAAGGTGGGGACACTGGACCGGGTGGGTAAGGGACAGGGGCGGGAGCCAGTGCAGGGAGGGTAGGCCACGGCCTCACCCAGGCTGTGTACTGGCTGAAGCGCCGCAGGAAGTAGACCATCCAGTTGCCCAGGGACTTGAGGGTGGCAGGGGCCAGCTTCCTCCAGATGCTCGGGATGCTGCCGATGAAGAGCGACCTGGCCACGTCATCAAGCTCACTGCTCATGCCGACTTCTCCTGCCAAGGCCTGTGGGGCCAGCAGAGAGCCACGAGGGGTGTCGAGGCGAGGCGCGGAGGGCGGGGGTGGGGAGGCCATGCCAGCTCGCGGCCACTGCTCACCCTCTGGAGCTCGGTCAGCGACCTGGACATGCGGAGCAGCAGCTTGTTGAAGCGCTCGAGCTCCTGCAGCAGCACCACCGACGTGGGCGAGACAACCACGCCCAGGTGCTTCCGGACCTGGTCCAGGTCGAAAGGCGTGGGCAGCTTGTTCTTGATGTCCTTGGCCACCTGGCCGATGTGGTCGTCGCGGCTAATGCCGCTACTGGATTCCCCTGAAACGGGACCCCCTCAGTGTGCATGGCCCCTGGCCCGCCCCACAGGCCCTACGGGTGCCCCCCAACCTGTCTGGGGCTGCAGGTTCAGCAGGTGGCGCCACATGTCCCGAGCTGCCTGCGTGTAGTAGCCAATCTCCGCGTTGGAGTGCAGCCCCAGCACCTCAGGCGTGTTGGCGAGCGGGAGGGCCTCGATGGCTTCTGAGGGTGGAGGGCAGAGGTCATGTCCTCGCGCCTGTCCCCACCCCTCGTCTCCAGGCCCTCAGCCTCCCACAAGTCCCACATATTCAAAAGACAATTGTGTCCCTTTGCCCAACCTGGTGACGTCCCCCCGGGGGGTGTGGGCAGGCACCTGGTTGGAAGGACCGGATGCAGGGTCATTCCAGGGCAGGACCCCCACAGTGACCCCAAAGCCCGAAGGCAACAAAGATCCCATCAGACCTCCTGAAAGACCACACCTGGGGCTGGAGAGATAGCATAGCGGGTAGAGCATTTGCCTTGCACGCGGCCGACCCAGGTTCGATTCCCAGCATCCCATATGATCCCCTGAGCACCGCCAGGAGTAACTCCTGAGTGCAGAGCCAGGAGAAACCCCTGTGCATCGCCGGTGTGACCCAAAAAGCAAAAAAAAAATGACCATACCTGCCAGCCAAGGGTCATTGTGCATGTTTTCATACACACACAGGCACAGGCATAAGCACACGCATGCACACAGACCCGCATGCAAACATACCTGCCCACACAAACACATGGACATGTGTGCAAACACATGCAAACACATACACATGGACATGCATACAAATATACACATACACAAACACATGCACACGTGCACAGGGACACGCGTGCAAGCACACACAAACATACACATGTGCATATGGACACACATGCAAACACATGCACACACGTGCAAGCACACATGCACATGTACAAATACACATGTGCAAACACATGCACATATGCACACATGTGCATAAACACACTCATACACCCACATCCACACTCACACACACACCTAGCAGGGGGTCAGAGTAGCCCCTCCATGGCTGAGAATGTGTGAGGGTCCCTAGGGCAGACTGAAAACACTTGTGTCTGAGAAATCTCACCGACAAACTTGTCTTTGACGTCACCCACGGGGATCTTGTAGTCCACGTCCTTGTTGCGGAAGAAGTGGAAGGGCTGGAAGGTGTCAAAGATGAAGTCACCCAGGTACTCGTCCATGTAGATGGTCAGGATGCGGCGGTCAAAGCTGTCGATGGCC